TTTCTCAACTGCATTGTATAGTGTTTTGATACATTTTATAATCATTTTTAGGTATTCCTCAGGCATTTCCAAAGCCTTCCCTTCTTCCAGTATGGAGTGTAGGTCTCCTTCCAGCTCATTTGCCTCAGTCACTTTATCTCGTTTCTGGACATGTGCATATATGGTCATCTGCTTCTGTTTTTTTTGGCATCTTCAGGGATATCTGTGGACTTTATATTTAGATGGGTATGTATTTTGATTTTTTTTTTAATACTTTCTGAATGCCTCCAGGTAGATGTGATCAGGAAATGGGCTTCCCTTTTCACTCTTCTTCCTGAGAAGTTTCAAGATACCACTGTTGGTTGTTTGACGTAACTTGGGATTTAATTTTTGGCCTGTTTCCTCTTTTGTCTGCTTTTGTCCCACTCCACAATCCTCGTTCAGGCCTTTTTTCTAGTTGGAAACAGTTCAGGGCTGGCTGTGGCTGTTTGGTTTTAATGGAATCGGTCTCTTTAAATTTCAGTGAGATCTGTGTGCATGCGTAGTATAACCCTCTGAGGGTGGGGCTGGGTTGCCCACTAGCTCAGGCACCCCTATAGTCACCCGAATGGAGGTGCGCAGATAGCAAGGGACCAATGAACACCTACCAAAAGAAAAGAATGCCCACACCTTTATCTCAGCGGTTCTGCCAGGCATCTGTGGCCGCTCCGATCCTTCCCCCGCTTGGTCTTACCCAAGATGGCGGCTCCTGGAGCAGCCGAGTGTCCCGGACTAGAAAGCAATAGATTTCTTGCTTCTGCCACAAATTCCCCCAGCTGTAAGCCTTCCAACCTTCTAAATATTCCTTTATATGTGGTTCAGAGTTCTGGGACCATCCCCTGAGCCTGCTTGGTTGGGTATTCTGTGTTGTTGTTGGCGGAGCTCTTTGCTACCCGTCCACCCGATCTGCCATCTTGTTTGTTCTCCCTGATTTTTTATCAGCAGGTCTCCAGGCCTTTATTCTGAGGCTCTTCTAGGCAGCCTCGACCCGCTGCCATTTTGGTTAGCAGCTGAGCATGTTAACCATTTGCACTACTGGGGACTCCAACTCTCTGTATAATTATAAGTTTAATAAGAGTTTTATTCAGAATAATAACTACTGGCCACCATGACCCAGAATTGAATGTGTTGGGAAGCATTTTATATCCACTATTTGTGTGGCTACTGTGAATTGTCTGGTTGCCTTGAATAACTGTTCCTGCTTGAGTAGGAGGTTTATAGTAGAGCCACTTCCTGCTGGGAAGGGTTCGAGGCTCCCCTGAGAATGACCCATGATTCCGTTTCTCCCCAATAAAGTGTCATATTTACAGTTGTTACTGGATGCTGGAAATTCTTGGTTATGGCTAGAGATTGCTTATAAAATACAGCACAGCAGTGTATGTATACACAAAGAGAAAAAATGGAGGCAGGAAGGAACAGAATGTTATTTCCAGAAGAGGGGTTATGAAGTTACAGAGGAACATGTGTTGGGCAGCTTTTCTCCTGGATTGATGTACAGCCTGAGATGCTTACTCACTTTTTCTCTTTCCTCTTGGACTGCTGAAGATGGAGAGCTGTACTCCGGGACATCATATAACTTTTTGGGAAGCGAACCAATCATCTCCCGCCATTCTTCCCAAAGCCCACTGAGAACAGAGTATGCCATTCCTTGGCTTAATGGTAAGGACCAGAAGCGTCTTATTGAAGGTCTATTTCTGTCCATGGTTACTTCCTTGCCAGTGGAGGTGCACCCAGCTGCATCTCCCTCTGCTGGCTCTGATCATGAGGGTGTGGTATGCAGGTCGGCACATCAGGGACCAACCAAGTGTTAATCTCAGCTGCTGGTGGATAATGAGACACTCAGCAGTGGCTGTAGCTACATCAACCTCGAATGGAAGTCCATGTTGCTTAGCTCATGCATAGCCTCCATTCTTACTACCAGAGCTACTGTGTTCATGAGCTCATTGGGACGAGGTTGATTAGCTCCACAGAATTGCATCATCCTTTCCTTTTGATCATTAAAATCCAAAGTCACACTTTGGTAAGCGTTCACATGAGTTACAAATGTCTTCACTTTTTGGTTCATTCATTGAGGACTGGCCACATACCTCTTCCCCTTACCCCCTTGTCACCAGTTTTTCAGTCATGTTCCTTTCAAACCCCTCACTATCTAACCTAAACCACTGGCCAAAGTCCATGAGTCAGCATATAATCATAACCTCCTTCCAAGTGGGATGAATAGCCAGATGCATGCTCATACTTCTGCTGGGAGAGTTCCCCTCAACACTGTCCTTCATGGAGGCCCAAAAAGGGGCTGTGTGCTGCAGCTGCCCACTTGGGGAAGTGCCTGGGCATCATGGGAACCATCTGTAAACCAGAACTCTGAATCGATTCTTTCTTCCTCAGTCACGAGGCCCTAGGGGCAGCATGGAATTCTGCAAAGGCACCAGTTGATTCAGAGGTTCAGGTGGCAGATCCCAGTACCTTGGGGGTGTATCTGCCAACACTTTGGACTACATGAGCCAAAGTTCAAGGGCATGTGTGTGTTTTACCTCCTCTAACAAGGCCCTGTTCTCCTTGACAGTGGCTTTGGGAGGCTTTATTAATAGCGAGACTCTGATGTTAAGGCTTACTCTGATGACTCCAATCGAGGTGTGTCATATTCACAGTAATACTGAAGTGCAGAGCAGATATAAATTGTACCATCAGATCAGATCTGGATTCTTTACTGCCTCCAAACAGTGTGTGTAGAGTCTGCTTTCCCAGTCTTGTGGGTGTCAGCCAGTGGAGCCTTTAGTTTTGAAGCCTCGTAGCTTCTCCAGAGGTGGAGTGGTGTTGGGGCAGATGCTGTGACCAGAGATACAAGGATAGCTGGCCACTCCTCAACCTGGAGCAGCCAAGGAGCCATAGATGTTGGGTGTCTGGATTTGTTGGCTGGGGTTTATTATTTAAACCAGAAAATGCATATTTTACAGGTGGGTCTCTAAGGACAGTGGGTCTGGCTCCTTGGAGTCCCAAAGCTGGTGGTCAGGAGGTGCAGGGGTAGATCTGGGAAGGGGACTGTACTTAAGCTGAAGAGAGCAGGCTGGGTATAATCAGGAGCGCAGCACTATCCTCATTCCTGACCCCTGGGGTCTGTAGTATGATATGTGTGACATAGGTATGCCCAAAGGCCCTTTGAGCAGAGCCCTCTAGCCTGGCAATTTTAACTTGTCTCTCCTTATGCCAGTACCAGCCTGCTTTGATATCCATGCGTTTATAGTACATATTGAAAATACGACATATGAATCTGCCAAATTTATTTTTTTTCAAGATTTTTGGGGGGCCCTTTGTGATTTCCTATGAATTTGTGGGTTGGCATTCCCATTTCTGCAAAGAATATTGTTAGAATGTTTAAAGGAAGTTCTTTGAGTCTAGATCACTTTGTGTGGCATAACTAAGTCTTCCAGTCCATGAACACAGGATTGAGGGCCATAGGTCTGCACAGCTGATGCTGGGCAGAAACACAGCTTAGTGTGTGCTGAGAACTCAGGCTGTCTCCTCTCTGCAGAACCCAGCTTCATCTTCGCAGATGTGATACGAAGAAACCTCAGTGATGCAGAGGGCCAGGATGACAAGGTGTACTTCTTCTTCATGGAGGTGTCTGTGGAGTATGAGTTTGTTTTCAAGCTGATGATTCCTAGGATAGCAAGAGTTTGCAAGGTAGGGTACCGTTCAGTCTTCCTTTTTTTTTTTGTCCTAGCCTATGATGTTAGCATGTCTGAGAACAAATCACTTGCCCCGAGACTTTAAACTTCACCTGGAATGTGAGTATATTTACCACTTAATTCTTTCCTGCGATAGCCTGGGTGTTGATGGAGGGTCTGTCATATGGAAGGTTAGTTCTTTTGTAACTGTGGTTATTTTTCTGAAGGCCTATGGCATATTCTCCACTTGTTGCAGGACCTCTGGGATCCCTACTTTTCAGGAGACTCAGTTTGGGTCATATCTTCCACAAACCTCCCCCAGGTTGTAAAAAGTTAGTGTTTGTTCACCATATTAGCCAAATAGTATTGGAATTGGAATTTCACCATGTGACTTTTTTTGATCAACTTGTTGTTAAGTGCCATGGAGTCAATTTCGACATAGAGATCCTGTATAGGGTTTCTGAGGAGTAGATGGTGAGTTCAACCCACCAACCTTGTGGTTCAATTGACCTTGCAGTCCAGTGCTTATCTTACAACGCCACACCAGGGCTCCAGCTTAGGAGTGAAATATTCATTGGTAGTTTAAGCAAGAACTTTAGAATAGCTGTTACATAGATGTTTGCTCAGACACAAAGCTTGAAGTAGAGATTAGGTGAAGGGCAAAGTTTACAAAACTACTGACTGATAGGCATAGTGTTAAATGGGTTGCTGTTTGCACCTTTGTGACCCATCAGGTTTCACTGGATCCTTTTCAGAAAGTGGCCATCTTAGTCTGAAACTGAGACCTGTTTGGCTCCTGTAACCCCTCTTGTTTGGTGATCACCATGTAAGTACTCGGTCATCACAGAAGCCATTGTTTCACGCCAACAGTGAACCAGGTGGTGCCTTGGCCTGACAGTATAAGAAACAGTGAGCACTCTGAACACCTGCTTACCTGCCAGCATCATCTCTAGTCAGGATGCAGCCTTGGAGCTGCCTCTGGCCGCTGCAGTGCAGACAAGACCAGCATAACACAGCCTGGCATGCCCAGGTCACAGGCTGGTGTAGAGCTGGGAGTGTGAGGCTGGTGCTCCTGAGTGTTTGCCACAGAGCCTCCCAAAGGCCAAGTGACTGCCAGGCAATAGATGATCAGACCTGCCCTGGAACCCTGTACTGACTTAACTTGTGACTTGTGGGTTGTTAGCTTGTGTCCAACTCAGGATTTCAACGTTAGCCTGAGATTTGAAGTTTCCCATGTACCATACTGAGTTTTGCTATGGCATTGTAGGTAAATACTGGACTGCTAGCCACAAGGTCAACAGTTTAAACTCACCAGCTGCTCTTGCAAAACCCTATACAGGGTCTTTGTGAGTCAGAACTGATTTGACAACACTTAACAACCACAACAATGTAATGTGTGCACACATCCCCCTCCCAACTCAGAAGTCTCAGCGTCTCTGCTTGCTTTAAGTGTCTCTTTATTTTTCACAGTATCTCTTACTAGGATTTAAGGCAGCAGACCCTGGTCATCCAGATACTCACCTCCTACTCAGGCTGTCAGAGTCAGCATACAAACAGGTCACTGATTACTCCTGGCTTTAGAGCCAGATCAAGCAAATGACCACAGACATGCTGGAAATTACCTTTTGGTAAAACATAAGAGAAGAAAACAAAGCTCTTTTATCTCAAAAAAAGAACTCGGCTTTTCATGATCGCAGATTCAATGTGGGCGGTATGGGGTTTCATTTTGTCTAAAATAATGAAGAAGCCGTCTGCATTCATAGTTCATACTTTCAGTATTTCTCTCCAGATCAAGTAAAGTGATCTGCTGCTGCTGAGTTGGGCTGTGATTTGCCGTCACCCCGTGCCCAGCGGGCGTGAGCTCCTGTAACCTGCAGGGTTTTCTTTACTGATTGTCCGAAGTAGATTGTCCAGCCTTTTTTCCTAATCCGTCTTAGTCTGGAGGTTCTGCTGAAGTCTGTAGCAGCATCACACCAGCGTCCGCTGGCAGACATAGACTGGGAACCAAAGCTGTTCTCAGCACACGGAAGGCAAGAACTCTACCACTGCGTTCTCACTGCCCTCAAAGGCATAGATGTTTTCCATTTTTCTCTTGATGTTTTAGGTCAGTAAAAAATGTCTGTGAAGCACCTAGTAGGACCATAGCACTTCAGCTGATTGTTTGGGAAGTCGAACGAAAGTAAAGGGTAGAATCTTTAGACGAGGAATGTACTTTTGTGGAGACAAAGCAGTGGATTGTGAGAGAAAGGAATGCATCTTCACAAATGAGACCATGGCTATTAATGAGTTGGGATTTTGGTTTTCTAATGCAGGGACACACCTGTGGCCCTTGACCCATGTGGGCATGTAAGTTTTGCTGTGGCTCATATAATGGTCTGCTGTGTGGGCTCTTTAGCCTTCACTTCATTTTACTTGGGCATTTGGTGCCTGAGAAGCCCCTCAACCTGCTAGGAGTGCCTCCTGCTGGTTAAGGCAGGTACTGTACCTGCACAACCTCACCTTCTGGTGACTGCAGGTCCTGTATCTGACAGAGCCTCAACTACTGGTGGGGAAGGTAGGTCTGTGCTCTTCCACATGTCTCTGGGATTTCAGGGTGACCAGGGCGGACTGAGGACATTGCAGAAGAAGTGGACATCCTTCCTGAAGGCCCGGTTGATCTGTTCCAAACCAGATAGCAACCTTATTTTCAACATACTGCGGGACGTGTTTGTTCTCCGAGGCCCGTGGCTGAAGGAGCCTGTGTTCTATGCCGTCTTCACCCCACAGCTGTGAGTGATGTAGGCAGGGTGTACCCTGGGTCTGCTGTCTCATCTGCACCCTTGCTGGTAGTTATAGCCTCTTTCTCCTGCCCAGGAACAACATGGGGCTGTCAGCAGTGTGTGCTTACAACTTGTCCACAGTGGAGGAGGTCTTCTCCCACGGGAAGTACATGCAGAGCACCATGGTGGAGCAGTCGCATACCAAGTGGGTGCGCTACAATGGGGAGGTGCCCAAGCCACGGCCCGGAGCGGTGAGTGGAGGAATGGGTTGTTCTTCTCCAATTGCATGGTCTAACAGCGGCATTATGAACGCCTCTTGCAGCTTCGGTTGACCTGACTCTCCTGGGCCTCTCTGCCCTGCTCAGGGACAACCAGGCTACCCCTGTGGCCACTCATTCCTCTGCTTCCTTGTAACATGCATGTTCCACAACAGCTCTAGCCACCCCGTGCACACACAAAGAAGCCTGCTGTAGGTGGTGTAGGGCGCTTGTGAAATACATTGCACAATAAAATTTGGCAAATTTCCTTTTGTGTTTCCTACAGAGAAACACGATTTCTGTATAAAGGCCTTAGGCAGGGAACTGATGACATCAATAGGTCACATTTTTTTCTCCTAAAAATCATGAGTTTTATGTGGAAATTAATTGCAAGCTGGTCGTAACACATGCATTCATTTTTCCACAGGTAGTGAGCAGGTGTGTCAGGTAGTGTTGAAGCCGTGAGCGGGGCTGTGAACTGGGAGACTGGCTTCCTGGACTTTTCCACCCAGGAGGGCTTCCTGTCAGAGGGTGCCTGTCCCTTTAAAGATAAGCCAGTGATGTTTCTTCCAAAGTGCTTCCAGCTCACTTGTCACACACTTTGGTTTGCATGCATGGCGAGCTAGGATAGAAAAAAAACCAAGGTCATGTTTCTGAGCTTTTACACCACATGAGGGGCATTCTTCTCTTCTTGAGGGAACGTTCACTACATGCATCTCAATTCGGAAGTTCTTTTGCAACTAGAAGCAGAAGAAAATTATGTGGTTACAGGCATTTCCCAGGTTATGAAGGTCTAACTTACGGACAACTCATGTTGCTGTTATTACATGCCATCGCCGAGTCTGCGCCAACTCATAGTGAGCCCTGTCCCGTGCCACCCTCACACTCATGTTAGTCATACCTGCCATTTTATATTGTCTACATTTTCTCTAAAATAATTGAACCAATAAATTACAACAAATTCTTCATCACAGTCACTTCACGTGCTGCATGTGGAGCTTTTAAACCATAGAAAAGGCTTGGAGCCTTTTCTTGTGTTAAACCCACTACCTGCTGCCATCACGCCGATCCAGACTCATAGAGACCCCGTGGGACCAAGTAGAACTGCTTCATAGAATTCCCCAGACTGTAAATCTTTTCAGAAGCAGAAAACTTCAGCTTTCTCCTTCTGAGTAGCTGATGGGTTTGAACTGCCAACCTTGTGGTTAGCAGCCCAGTGCTTAACTCACTATGTTGCCAAGACTCCTTTTCCTTGCTCTAAAGTAAGGCTAAGAATGTATGCACCTATCCAATTTACCTACAAACTCTTAAAGATGATGCACTCAGGAATAGATCTCAGGTGGAACCCAGGGACTCCCTGTGTCAGGTAGACAGTGCATTCTGTTTTAAAAAGCAGTGGTACTACCCATATGCTTCATAACCAAGTCTTCGAATTCCTGAGGAAAGGGCACCCCAGGTTTTCATGGAGCCTGACTTTGTTTTCCTGAGTCATGCATCCATGGCAGTGTGGAGGCATGCTGTGACCGACCGTCCAGTTGCGTAGCCTCTGTGCAGTGCTTAGGGTAGTTGGTATCTCCCACAGTGCATCAACAATGAGGCCAGAGCAGCCAACTTCACCAGTTCTCTGAACTTACCCGACAAGACGTTGCAGTTTGTGAAAGACCACCCTCTGATGGATGACTCCGTCATCCCGACCGACGGCAGGACCCAGTTAATTAAGAAGGATGTGAACTACACCCAGATTGTGGTGGAACGGGTACAAGCCTTGGACCGGACTATCTACGATGTGATGTTCCTCAGTACAGGTGGGTTCACAGGCAATACTCAGTCCTCTGAATTGTGGTGGAGAAGGTGGAACTATCTGGTTCATTTGGGGGTGTTCAGTTTGATAAATGTGAAGGCTTTCTGAGAATGGGCAGCAACTGTGATCTGGTCTCTGTCAGGTCTTTTGGGAATGTAAATGTAAGTGTTGGCTCTCGTGAAATTCAAGTTTGGTTGATCTCTGGAGCAGTTGTGTTGTTAGGTATCATCGAGTCAATTCCAGCTCATAGTGACTATGCACAACAGAATGAAACACTGCCTGGTCCTGCATCAGTCTCACAATTCTTGCTGTGTTTTAAACCATTGTTTTAGCCATTGTGTCAGTTCATCTCCTTGAGGGTCTTCCTGTTTTATTTTGACCCTCTATTTTGCTAAGCATGATGTCCTTCTCTAGGGACTGGTTCCTCCTGATAACATGATCCTGGTATGTGAGAGGAAATCTTGCCATCCATACCTCTAAGGAGCATACTAGCTATACTTCTTCCAAGACAAATGGAAGAACCGTTCTTCTGGTGGTTGGGTCCCATAGGGTTTACGAGGCTGTAAATCTTAGTGGGAGCAGAAGCGTCATCATTTTCCCAAGGAGCAAGCGATAGATTCGAACTGTAATTTCTCAACTGCTGCTTCCATGGGCGTTGTTTGGGGATCCAAGTACACAGAATCCTTGATAACTTCAGTCCTTTCTCCATTTATCATGATGCTGCTTATTGGTCCCATTGTGAGGAATTTGTCATTTGTATATTGAGGTGTAATCCAGACTAAAGGCTGTAGTCTTCGATCTTCATCCTCAGTAAATACTTCAGGTCTTCTTCACTGTCAGCAAGCAAGATTGTGTCATCTGCATATCATAGATTGTTAACGAGCCTTTTTGTCCAATCCAGATGCCACTTTCCTCAGATAATGCAGCTTCTCAATTTGCTCAGCATACAGATTGAATAAGTATAGTGAAAGGATGCAACTCTGATTCACATCTTTCCTGTTTTTATTTCAAGTGTGGTGCTATAAGATAAGCACTGGATTGCTAACTGCAAAGTTGGTGGTTCTAACCCACCAGCCACTCCTGGGAAACCCTATTAAAGGGTTGCTATGAGTCAGAACCAACTCGATGATACTGAAAAACAGCAAGTGTTCCCTTGCTCTGTTTGAACAGCTATCTCCTAGTCTCTGTACAAATTCTACATGAGCCCAATGAAGTGTTTTGGAATTCACGTTTTTTGGAATATTATCTATAAGTTGTTATCATCCACATAGTCTTTGCAGTCAATAAAATACAAGTAAACATATTTTTAGTATTACGTACTCCCGTGTTTTCTGAATCCGGCTTGAACTTCTGACAATTATGCACTGATTTGATGGTACTTAACAACAGCAATGTACTGCTGCAACCATTTCATCATTTTCAGCAAAACTTTGAGCCTGTGTAATATTAATGTTGTTCAATAATTTCCATATTACATTGGATCACCTTTCTTTGAAATGGGCAAAAATACGGATCTTTTCCAATCAGTAGCTGTCTTACAAATTTTTTGGTATAGACAAGTGAGTGCTTCCAATTTATCATGGATTTGTTGAAACATCTCAGTTGGTATTCCATCAATTTCTGGAGCTGTTTTTCACCAGTGCCTTCAGTGCTGTTTGGATTTCTTCCTTCAATTCCATTGGTTCTCAGTCATGCATGAATATTGACCAATTCTTTTTGTATAGTGACTCTGTATATTCTTTCCATCTTCTTTTGATATTCCTGCATTGTTCAGAAATTTTGCCCATAAAAATCTCTCGGTATTTCAAGTTGAAGCTTGAATTTTTGTCTTCAGTTCTTTCAGATTGAGAAATGCTGAGCAGGTTCCTCTCTTTTGGTACTCTAACTCCCAGTCTCTGTAAATTTCATTATAATACTTGACTTTCTTTTCTTAAGCCACCTTTTGAAATTCCCTATTCAGCTCATTTACTTCCTCATTTGTTTCAGTGGCTTTAGTTTCAGAGTTTCCTCTTACTTCCATTTTGGTCTTTTGTTTGCTTTCCTGTCTCTTTTGCTTTCTTCCTGAGGAGAACTTCCTTTGGAGGACACCTTAGTCTGGTGTTTCTGACACCTGGCAGTGACAGCACATTGTGCCTCTTTGGTGTGGAGTCCAGGTATGAGACATTGTTGTGACTTAGTTTGGAAAGCACATATTTCATATGTCTGGCTTGTGAAATCTGACCACATTTTTAGGAACGAGAGTAGTCCCCTGGTGCCGGGTAGTTTCTTAGCCTGACCTGATGAATGAGGTTTCTTATGAGTGATGCTGTTTGTCTTTCCCTTCTGCCCCATAAGGGCTGGGCCACCCAAGACCCAGAGTCTCAAATGTCATCACACTGCCAACTTTAATTACAAGTTATTGCTGGAGCCTCAGCAGTGGGGCTTGTCATTAGAATTGGGGGGATAACCTCTAACATTTGAATTTCCAATCATTTCTTTTGCCAAAGCTTTTTTTGTTTGTTTCTTATGTAATAGCGTCTTCTTTTTCTGAGAATCCTTGTGGGTGCCGAGGCAAGCCTTGGCTGCTTTTTGTTAGTTATCCCTGGGCTGTGCTTGCTCTCTCTCCGTGGCACCATCACTAACCTGTGGACTCTTGTGTTGTAGACAGAGGCGCCCTGCACAAAGCCATCAGCCTGGAAAACGACATGCACATCATTGAGGAGACACAGCTGTTCCAGGACTTTGAGCCAGTCCACACCCTGCTGCTGTCTTCAAAAAAGGTAGTCTGATGCTGTCCCCTGGTGTCCACTGTCTTGGTGATCTGAGAATCACTGACCCCCCACAAGCACCCTGGCCCAGCTCTGTCCCTGGTTCCTTTATGTGCAAAATGAGCTAGCATTTAGGTGCTTCAAATAATAATTCAGTGAGCCGTGTGGTTTGAAGTTTGGGACCATGGGAAAGCAAACCTAGGGTGGTGTCACTTTCTATAAAAAGTTGCCAGCACTTCTTGCATGGCTGAAGCAGATACGCAGTGCTTTTGTCTTGTGTGCACTGATTTGAGGAGACTATCGCTTAATCCTTGAGTTATGATATTGATGCTGCTACTGGTCAAACTCAGATGCTGTCCAAGAATAATGATAACGCATCATATCTGTAAAGTTCCTTTTGATTTACTAAGGTGTTTTCTCACACATCAAAGTTGACAGACATTTTCTATAAAATACATATTTTCAGCTTTGTGGACCATGACATCTTGCTCACATTGTGGCTTGGCTGTTGCGTGTAGGAGCAACCACGAACAGTGCATGGATATGTAAGCGTGGCTGTGTCCCAAGAAAGCCTCGTTGAAATGCTCTGCACTTTGCTTTTTATGTAACTTTTCATGTCAGAAAATATTGTTCTTTTGATTTTTATCTCCTAACCATTTAGAAATCTAAAACCCATTCTTTGCTAGTGGTCTGTCCAAAACATAAGGGACTGGGTTTGGCCTACTGGCCATAGTTTGCTGACCGCTGTCAGGCTCTGTTTCTCTTCATTTGTGCTGTGGTTGGGAAGTGGATGAAAGGCAAGCTGTGAGGGGTGCACGTTACCAGATCACCTGGGTCCAAATCTGAGCTCCACCATCTGGGGCCAGTTAAGCACTTTGTGCCTCAGTTTCCCTACCTGTGATGTGGGCAGCACAGTGTGTCCTTGGGGGCAGTCAGCATGGCACTGTGCCAGGTGGACAGCACCTGTGGCGAGTACAATGGGTGAGGCAGCCAACCTAGCACAGGGTCCTAGCCCTGCACTGGGACCTGCTGGGCCACATGTGGCATCTTCCTCAACCCCCTGCACCTCCTGTTTGTGAAAGCCTAGTTCTCCACCAGCCTGCAGTGCCCTGCACTCCTTGGTGTGAGCTGATCTGGTCTGGCCTGAAATGCCCATGAGTAGTGCTCTCCAGGGGTGGCCACAGCTTCAGACCCTCAGAGAGCTCCTTGGCACAGTTAGCTGCAGACAGTGGGCTCAGGCCCTGTCAGGTTCTTCCTCCCCACCCCTGAGTAGCACACAGGACAGGGGCCTGACCACTGGGCTTAAAGCCTCTTTTCCTTACTCTGTTTGGTGGAAATTAGTCACTTTGTTCAGGCCACACACCAATGGGTGGAGGGAGGTGTGCCCAAGAATGTATAGACATCATTAAAAACAGAAAAAACCAGCTTCTGTTGAACCATTTCCAACTCACCTGTCTATCAGAGTATAACAGTGCTTTGTAGAATATTCAGTGGTTGAGTTTTCGGAATAGAATCACGGCCTTTTTTACGAGGATACTCTGGTGGACATGAACCTCCAGCATTTCTGTTAACAACTGGATACAGTAAACATTCGCATCATCACTCAACGACTACAAAACCTGTTGTTATCAAGTGGGTTCTGACTCATGTCCACACCACCTAGGTTAGAGTAGAATGGGTGTCCTTCTCCTGGGTGCTTTGTTCCTGGACTCCGCATTGGTTGGTCTGTGACCCTGGGGCCTTCAATGTGCTGCCAACTGTGACGTCTAGGTTAGCACCAAGACTCTGATCTGGAGCCCAGCTCTAAAGTTAGTTCACAATATAGCTTTTAAGGATAAGGCAGTATTTCATCTGACTGTAAACACTAATTTGTTGTTAGTAAACTTGGCAAGCTTTTGAAATTAACCAAAATGTGGCTAGCTGAATTTAAAGCTCTAAAAAAGTCTTTCCGATTTCTGCGTTTTAGGTTGACCTTTCTTATGAAACCTCATTCAGTCAGGATTTAATGAGAGGGAAAACAATCTGAGTTGACTGACTCTGAGAGTCAAACACCCTGTCTGTGCTAGGTGAGCTGGGGGACTTGTAGCATATGCTTATTTGGTAGTGGAGTCAGGTCTAAAGTCCACAGTTCCCCAAACAAAGGAATATGGGAGAAAGGAACCCACTCTGACATGTGGCAAATCCATGTGTATCAGATTAGAATTGTGCTCCAGATCTCCAGGCCTTTCTTCCCAAAGTGCCTCTGAGTGGACTCCAACGCCCAAGCTCTCAGTGAGCAGCCTGACCTGCTTGCACCTCCTAGAGACACCATAGTTGTAAACTAGGTGGACTTCTCTCCTTCCAGGGTAGATTGGAGGTACTTCACTATCATTTTCTGTGACCCTAGTAAATAAGCAGACATCATATGAGGGCAAGTCAAAAAGCATTGTTCCAAAATTGCAGAGACCTGTATTGAATACAGATATCAAAAAGTGGAGCTACTGTTACTAAACATCTCCTCCAAGGGTCTGTGTACTTCTCAAGGCAGTTTTTCTGTCTCTCTGCTCTCTCCGGTTTACCTGCAAACGTCAGTTTGATATCCTTGAAGCAGTCATATCGTGTTCCTTTTTGAGGAACAAAAGGAGCCTGAAAGGGCAATGTCTGGGCTGTAAGATTGTTGTTGTTAAGTGCCCTCGAATTGGTTCCAACTCACAGTAACTCAGTACAGGGTTTCTGAGGGATGACTGGTGAGCTTGAACCACTAATCTTGTAGTTCAAACTGACCTTGTAGTCTTGCACTTATCCTACAGCAGTACAGTAGATTAGTGAAAGTTTCCCAATGAAAGCCTCCTAGGACTGCCCTTGCTTTCCTCAAGAATGAACTGGTATGTTGTTGTGATGGAAAGACTCCTTGATGCAATTTTCCAGGCCTTTTTCTCACCAGTGCAGGTTTTCATGTCTTAACACTTCTTCAAAATAACCCCTCATAATTGTCCTTTGACAAAATCTATGATGATTACTCCTTGTAATGCCCCAAAACAGTTCCACAACCTGAGCTGACCTCTGCCTTGAATTGAACTAGCCTGCTTTGTGGATTGGACTGGTTTGGGGAGGTCTCCCTAACCAATGAGACGAAGACAAGTGTATCCAGAGAGAATTTGTCTACAGCCATCCACTGATCTCATATACATGTTTGGACTAAACCTGTACATGCATGAACTGGCAATACCTTTTGACTTACCTTGTTGATGGTTTTTGCTATATGCCTTTCCCCAAATGCTTGTTCTCACCTCTGTTTCATCTCCACAGGACAAAAAGTTTGTGTATGCTGGCTCCAACTCGGGCGTGGTCCAGGCCCCTGTGGCCTTCTGCAGGAAGCATAGCACGTGTGTGGCCTGTGTGTTAGCACGGGATCCCTACTGTGCCTGGAACCCACATGCCAGCGTCTGTGTCGCTCTGCACCAGGAACATGTCTCTGGCAGGTAAAAGTCTGAGGAATGCACCTGCATGTTTGGTCCATATCCCCAGCGAAAAGCACATTGGTAATTTCTGCGTGGTTGTTTTTCAGGGGCTTGATTCAGGACGTGCGTGGGGGCGTGTCTGCTTGCCCTGGTGAGTCATTCCCTGTTACTGCATCTCCTTGAGAAACAATGAGGACCTCAGCCCCACACCACAGTGCTTTCATTTTATGGTGTTTCTGTATATTTCGTTTCCTTCTCCACCTCTCCTTGGCACCGAGGTCAAGTTCCTGGTAGCAGAAGCCTTGGGCATTTCTCTGTGCATTTTATTGCAGAGAAGCAGGCTTGACGCCATTGTGAGTGGATTGGGCTTGCTTTTTGGAAAGCACTCTCTGTACAAACTGCAGCATCTGTCTTTTCCTACTCAGTGTGGGCTCATTAAACAAAGCCTATTGAATTGCTAACCACAGGTTGGCTGCTCCTTGGAAACCCTGTACAGTGACACTGTGAGTTGGAACCAACTGGATGGCACTTAAGTTTATTATGAATGTGAAGAAAGGATCCCATAAATAATTCGTCCACAAGAGTAGTGGTAGATTCTTGCTTTCTTTGTGGGAACCCTGGGTTCATTTCCCACCAGTGGCCCTCATGTGCAGCCAGTAGAGGCTTGTGCGTGACTGGGCTGCTGGACAGGCTTCAGTGGAGCTTCCAGACTGAGACAGACTAGGAAGACAGGACAATGAAAAGCCTGTGGATCACGGGGTACAGTCTACAGTGATGCTGGTGATCGTGTAGGACTGAGCAGCATTTTGCTCCCTGCACGGGGGGTGGCCTTGAGTTGAAGGCCAAATGGGTGCCAGGTAACAAGCCAAGACACAGAGGTGGCATTCCCAGTGCAGTAGTCCCTGGATGGAATCAGATTACAATTGTTCTACCCTTGGCACTACGTACACTACCTTCCACCATTGCGAACAGCAAATGCACCCGGGTAACCTATTCTCCAGCCCCTTGAGCTTGTAGACAGCCATCAACAGATTAGAGAGAGATGAGGACGAGCAGAGGCAAGGGCGAGGATTGGAGATTCTGCTGCTCCGAGTTGCCTCTGGTTTCTTTTCATGCATGGACTGCCAGCTCGGGTTCATCTTTGCTTCTCAGTCATGCATGTCTTAGTCTCCTTAACCAGATTCCCTGTTGCTCCGGTGGTGGAATTCTTGTGTTGTTTTGTGCATGTTAACATGCTTTTGTGGATGTGAACTAACAAGCCGGTTGTTGATGCTGTGCACGTTTATTTTGATGTTCCAGATAGAGTTAAGGAAAGTTACGGGCAGCATTTTTTCAAGCACGGTGGCACAGCAGAGCTCAAATGTTCCCAGAAGTCCAACTTGGCTCGAGTGGTGTGGAAGTTCCAGAATGGCATGGTAAAGGCTGACAGCCCCAAGTACATTCTGGTGGGCGGGAAAAACTTGCTCATCTTCAACCTGTCTAAAGAGGACAGCGGGGTGTACCAGTGTCTGTCGGAGGAGATGGTGAAAAATAAGACTGTCTCTCAGGTGCTCGCTAAGCATGTTTTGGAGGTGCAGTTGCTCTCATACACTCGGGCACCTCCCAGTAGAACTGCCTCCAGAGTGCTGGCTGAGACCTCTGTCGGAACTTCTCCCCAGACGTCGGCTGTGCAGATCAGCACACTTCCTCCCGTGATGACGACACCCCCCCACCTGGTGCCCACAAGCACTCCATGCCAGCCAAAGATCGTCATCAACACCGTCCCACAGATCCACTCCGAGAAGACCATGTATCTCAAGTCCAGCGACAATCGCCTGCTTATGTTTCTCTCCCTCTTCTTCTTTGCTCTGCTCCTCCTTCTCTTTTCTTACAACTGCTACAAAGGCTACCTGCCTGCACAGTGTCTGAAATTCCGCTCCGTTATGGTTCTCGGAAAGAAAAAGTCCAAATCTGATTTTTCTGACTGTGAGCAGAACGTGAAGGAAACATTGGTGGAGCAGGGAAGCTTCTCTCAGCAAAACGGAGAGCAACCCAAGCCAGCTCTGGACACGGGCTATGAGACGGAGCAGGACACCATCACCAGCAAACTCCCCACTGACAGGGAGGACTCACAGAGAATGGACGACCTACCTGTCAAGGACAAGCCTTTTGATGTGAAGTGTGAGCTGAAGTATGCTGATTCGGATGCTGATGGGGACTGAGGCAGGCTGCCTCTTCTCCTTGGATGCCCAGGGGCGTGTCTGGGGATCTCTTCCAGCCCTGCCTAGGGAAGTTGCCTCGTGTACAAACCCCAGTTCTGTTCTCTTGCCCGTTCGGTTGAGCTTGTGACTTGGTTTCTCTTTGTCTCTTTGGTAAATGGCAGGCAGCACAACCTGGGTGGAGCCACGGGCTCAACCAAGTTCATTGGTCCAAAGTCGAGTTGTACTTTCAGCCTTCTCTCCTCATCACAGCCACTGACAAGTCATTTCATTCCAGATTGGAAATGACATTTTAGTTGGTCAGTTTGGTAACTTACAACCTGTTGTCCAGGTTGACACAAGCCTTTTCTCTCATTTTAGTTTTTAGAACTTTACTTTCATTGTGTTGGTGTGTTAGGTAATTTGTTTTCTAATTACTGAAGCAGATGAAGAAGATGTATCCTCTAGCTCTTATATATTATGACAGTAAGACTTAAGTTGCTGACAGTTCTCAGGGATGAACTTAATTTTGTTAAATGTGTTCTTTCTGCTTTGAGAGATGCAAACTGTCTTTTGAGCACACTTAGTTTTTTAAAAAATTTCATTCCTTGAGGGAAATGCTGCTTTTGGAAAGGTTTTCTTTCTATGCTTTTTGCCTTTTTTTTTCTTTTAAAAAACCTTTCAAAGAGGAGACTGCAGTGGAAGATGGCCACATGTCCATACAATTTGATTTGGGATTTTGAGCAGGGACGCTGGCCTTGCAGGCTACAGGTGATGGCCAGGCAGGTTGAGTGTGGGTAAAGGAGCCAGCACGCTTACAATCAGATGCATGTGGCCACTGCTGAAACATCCTGTCCAGACACACAGAGTGCCAGCCAGGACTTCTGTGGCTCTCTCAACATCTCCTTTTCCCATTGCTTTGATCTCACACCTACTTCCCATTCTGTTGGACTTCTTGCCCTGCCTGAGCTCCTTCACAACTGGAAATGGCCTGGGCAGTGGTAGGCAGGTGGCCACTGCCACCCAGGAGACACCCTGTGTTGACTGGCCACCATGCCAGGCTGCCTCTAGCAGAAGGTGTGAGTGGGAGTCTGATGTTCCCATTCGCGTTGGTTACGCTTCACCCTCCTGACCATCAGAGGAGATTTCCTTCCGGGCCAAAGAGCAATAAACTCTGGATTTTGTGTGCTTGTGTAGACAGCCTCATCTTCCAACATATATGATTGGACCATTTTGGTGTAAACATTTGTGTTTTATAAGATTTAGTTTGTTTTTATTTTTCTACCTTGACTTGTATAAATATGAGAAGTAACCGAATAAATAAGAAATATATATCCTCAATCTGGGCAAGACTTTTATTAAGCTGCACTCCATCCTCTGCACAGTGTTGAAGCTGGGTGTGTGTCATGCAGGGATGTTTCTTGGGCCCTCACTCCTGTTTCTCTGCATGGCCCCAGGGGAGGAGGCAGGGAGCAGGGGCAGAAGGTAGGCCTGGGATAGCCTTTGGTGTCTCTTTCTTTCTGGTTGAGTTTATCTTCGTCAGCATTGGATTCATTCCTGATGATGTGTCCTCAGTGCCCTCTCTTTTCTGTCCTCTTCTGTCTCGCAGCCTTATCTCCTAACCCCCTCCCTCTTCCTGGCTCTTCCTCCCTGTCCTGTCTGAGTCCTGAGGCATCATCTCCCCAGAGCCCCTGGCCATCCTTGGGCTCTGAGACCACTGGGGTCACCTTGCTGCCACCCTTCCTAAGTGACCAGGCACAGCACGTGCATGCCCTGGGGACCTTCCAGCTCTTCTGTCAGGCCACAGGTAAGTAGCACACCTCTGTGCGCCCGCCATGTCCTCATCTGAGTCTGTCTCCTTCCAGAGGTGCTGACTGGCCAGGGCCAGGGGCTGCAGCCAACACCAGAGCCTGTCACTGAATGTGGCGGGAAGGTGTAGGGGGCAGGTGGGTAGACACACATGTGTTCTTATCTGCTGTGACCTTTTGTTGCTCCATGTTGATTTCCATAGGCAAGGTCATTCCATGCTTTCATTCTCTGGTGGTACATTGAGTTCAGATTGGACTGCTAACCACAAGATTAGTGGTTTGAACCCACCAGTTGTTCCTCTCAGGGGGAAAGGTGAGGCAGTCTGTGTCCATAGGATTTACAGCCTCAGAAACCCTACGGAGCAGTTCTGCTCAGCCCTGTAGTGTCATTGAATCGGAACTGACTCAGCGACAGTGGGTTTGGTTTGAATCTGAAGGAAAATGGAAATTACTGATACCATACAGTGTTGTTAAGTGCCATCAAGTCTGTTCCTATTTACAGAGATCCTGTATAGGATTTCTGAGGTTGTAAGTCTTTATGGGAGCAGAAAGCCTCATTTTTCTCCCACAGGGCAGCTGCTTATTTTACAGAATCACCGCATTCCCCATAGTATACAGTACGAGGTCAGTAAACTTTGTATCAATAGGCAGAGAATGAATATTTGCAGCTTTGTGGGTTATGTGGTTGCACTACTCAACTCTGCTGTAGGATGATGAAAACAGCCACAAATGGGATAAAGCAAATGGCACTTTTACCTACAAAACCTACTGGTAGGCTGGATTTGGTCTTTAGACCGCAGTTTGCCAATTCCTGGAATATATATATATAATATAATATATATATAGTTACTTATATTTCTCTGAACTATTGGGAGGTTGATATATGTGGTTTGTAGAAACTTAAATTAACTTCAGAATTTTCAGAATGGGAATTTTGTAAATGGTTTGCTTCAAACAGAAAGGATTTAGAGTCACACACACACACACGCATGCACACATACATACAAACAGTTTTCCTGGTGTCAGCTGATATTCTGATGGCATCTGCTCTTGAAAGATGATAGAATGACCACAGCCAAGTTTCCCGTGATTTCTAGGCTTTGGACAAATCCCAGTACCCTAGTCTCCCTTGTGTGACCATTCTAATTAATTAGGAGACACAGAAATGGAGGAAGTAGCTCAGACCCACAGTGCTTACCCAGTGGGGGGAATCAAATCAGTGAGGAGGGAAAACATATTTTGCTTGAGATTTTAATCTATTAAAAGCTACTAAAAGTTTTGAGGAGTCCTGCTGTGGCGCTGTGAATCAATGTGATGGACTGCAAGGTTGGTTTGAACCACAAGGTAGGTGATTCAGACTCACCAGCTGCTCCTTGGAAACCCTATACATGGTGGCTATGAGTTGGAATTGACTTGACAGCACTTAACAGCAAACAACAACAACAATAGTTTTGAGCTACTCTCCTGAGTGTGGAGACACAGCTTTGAAGGACTGTTCATATGGTCCCAGTTTTGTGTGATACTGGGCTGGCCACCCACAGCAGTGAGGCCCCTGAATGATGCTTGTCAAGCAGCTGCTTCCTGGTCTCCCATGGCTGCCATTGCATCCTTCCCAGGCTCGCTGTTCAGAACCCCTAACCCTCTTATCTGGCAAGAACTACAAAAGCTTGGAGCTGGGCTGCTTGGACCTTTCAGAGGACTCAGGGCATCCTCACTGGCTGGTGTCAGGTGTATGTAGACGAGAGCCGTTAGTTTTTAAATTTGGTCCTTGGGCTTACGTTACCTGTTAAGCAAGAGGTGTGTGTTCACATGTTTCTGGGATTGGGCAAAAATGAAAAGACTGGTGTCTGGAGTAAACGAGACTGCTTCACGTATTTCCAACTCACAATTTTAATTCAGGGAATTGCTTACAGAGATGTGGTAAGGGCAGGGAGAGCAAAAACGAGAAACTAAGTTTATCCACAATTTGGTAACTGTACGAAGTCACTAGGAGTGGTAAGGTTGGAGGAAAGACAGAAAACCAGCATTTCTCGGGGTCTGTGCTGCTGGTGCCACCACGCACCCTTGCTGGCCTCGCTCCCTTCTCTCTATCACAGCTGTGTGCACTCTTGTGGCCACCACTGCTGGATGGGCTTCCAGAAGCTGGAGAAACACTTCTCTTTTCCCACTCCACTCCCTTCTGCTGCTTCCAACTGTGGCACAAGAGAACCCAAAGGGAAGCTATTGGCAAAGGGTCTGGAGAGTGGAGCTTGTGGGCTGCCGGCCCTCCTGGAAAGGGGACGGACGTGCATAGATGGAACTGAGAAGTGAGAGGCCCTGTTGGCTGAGCCAGGCTCCCGGAGAGCATGTGGGTTTGCTACCATGATGCAGAGCCTGACACTCAGAATGCGTGAAAGGATGGGCCTCTGCCTGCCCCTCTGCCCCTCACCCCTGCCTCCACAGGTTCTCATGGTTTTCACCCCAGGAACCTGTGCTGTTTCCTCCCGTTTTGTTCCTGGGAAGGCTGTGAGACCTCCTGGTGTGGATGGACGGGCCTTTTTTAAGATAATGGATGCATCTTGTTACCTTGTCTACTTGGAAGAGGACGCTTAACCAAGGCCAGGGCAGGCAGTGAACCCCACAGTCCCTATAGTTGACCCTGAGCTTGGGGCCTATGGGCTCTGCATTCCCCCAGTAGCTGGTTCCTCAGGAATACAGGACAGTTTGATATTGGAGTCAACAGACTTAATGCTTCCTGGAGTCCCATTCAGACTGGGAGAGAGAAACACTGTCCAACTTTGGTTTTTGGGGGGCTGCTGCCATGGGCGCCTTCCCCTGAGGCAAAGGTGAAAGGATGAGCTGTCTTAGCTTCAGGGAGGCTTAGAGTATCTGAGTTTCCTCTAGTTCTTTCAGTCTTAGGGACTTACAACTGCCCCTAAACTGGCTGCTGTCCTAGTGCTGGTCCCGTGGAGCCCTGCCTGCGGGCTGCAATCACAGGCCTTGTCTGCAGGGTTTCAGAGCTCTCAGATCGTTTTTATATGCGATCCCAGGAAAGAATATATACCTCCCAGGACCACCTTGCTCCTCATGGGGCAGTTTCCTCCCTCAGACGAATGAAGCATAATTGTTTCCTGTGGTGGTCGTGTGGTCTGGGGAAAATGTAGACACAGAAACTTGCAGAATACGGAGTCCAGCAAGGTACCCTCAGTGTCTGGAGAAAGGAGAAAGGGTCCTTTC